GTTGAAAAGGTATGGAGACAGGATGCATCCCTGGCATACACCCTTCCCAACTTTGAACCATGAAGTGTTACCTTGCTCTGTTCTGACTACTGTCTCTTGGTCCAATTATAGGTTTCACATTAGCACAATTAAATGTTCTGGGATTCCCATTCTTCTCAGAGTCAGCCACAGCTTGTTATGATCCTCACAGTCAAATGCCTTTGCATAATCAATGAAACACAGATAGACATTCTTCTGGTATTCTCTGCTTTCAGCCAAGATTTTCACTCTTGTCTTCAGAGAGAAATTGTGATTTTTAAATCCTTTTTTGTCTTAAGGAGAATGTGAGAAGTCATTCTTGACCATTTTCCTCCCCCTTTTTATTTCTGGTATTGGATTTTACAAAAACATTACCAGAATCAAAGAGGGAGAAGACCGGCTTAAGATAAAGGAAAAAGATGAGTTTGTCTACCTGAATGAGGAGTTAAAGCAGGATGTAATTTCGTGTTACCTCAGTATCCAAATACATAAAAGTTCACTGTTGCTCAAATATCAAGCAAAAACCCTCAAAAATCACTGCCGTCTAGTGGGGTCTCTGAAACTATAAATTTGAACAGAAAGGGACCATCTTTCTCTGCCAGCGGACTGATGGATTCACATTGCAGACTGTGGCATTTTGATTTTCAGCCAAACATACTAAAGACTATCCCACCAGAACCAAAAGATAATTACAAGATGAAATGTGCCAAAAAGGAAAAGCATAGTGAGCCTTCCATGGTCCCTTTATCTAGAATAGAGATTGGAAAGATAAAAGTTTATAGGAAAGAAATAGCATATTGTGACTACGATACAGATCCGTACTAGAAACCAGTGCCATTGAATTGGTTCTAGTTTTGTTATCTCCTTGTTTGTTAGAGTAGAATTGTATTTCACAGGATTTTCAGAAGTATATTGCCTGGTCTTGCTTCTGAGGTTCTTCTGGGAGGACTTGGACCTCTAATCTTTCTTTATTCCTGAAGATAATTAACTCTAATATATGTTAAAGTCATCAGGGGGTGGGGGGATGATATATTTAAGGAGCTAAAGTAAGATCAGTGTGATAATAGGTTAATAAAGGGAGGGAGTGAATGTAATAATAGCCTAGAGTAGCCAATGGTCAATATGTATATATGAGAAGGGCCTGCATATCATGTGGGTACCATTATTTACTGAGTTAGGGATACTGGTATTTGGTGCAAACCCATGAAAGAGCTTCAGTTTGTAGGGCTTTAGAAAAGTACAGAAAAGAGATGAAAAAGTGACTATACTACTAAACTGTTGGTTTTTTGTTGTTGTTGTTGTTGTTTATAAACATGTTTGCATCATTTGTCATCACCACTTTGTGAAATCACTTTGTGATTTGTCATACTAGAATAGTGCCTCGGAAAAAGAGCACTTCGTAAAGTATAAAGAATATGTGCATCTATCACTAATACCTTCCACTTGCCTAGACCATGTTTTGTATCTCCAAAAGGAACACTAGGCCTGCTGCCCTCAGGTCTATTCTGACATCTGGTGACCCTCATCATGTTTCTAAGCCTAGAAAATTTAATAGCCTCATCTTTTTCCTGCAGAGTGCCGACAGATTTGGACTGCCAGACTTTTGGTTACCAGCCAATATTTAACCTGCTACAGGTTTTCTACCAACTTTTGCAGTCAGAAATTGATCAAACATGCAATCAAGATGCATTGATAATAGTGGGTGACTGGAACACAAACGTTGGGAACAGGGAAGAAGGATCAGTAGCTGGAAAACACGGGCTTGGGGAGAAAAATGAGGCTGGAGATAGAATGATAGAGTTTTGCACATTCAATGATTTATTCATTGCAAATACCTTTTATAAGAAAAAGAAATGCAGGCTATACACATGGATTTCACCTGATGGTATGCATAGGAATCAAATTGATTACATTTGTGGAAAGACTTGGTGGAGAAGCTCAATATCAGCAGTGAAAACCAGACCAGGTGCTGATTGTGGGACA